TGAAGGACTGAAGTTAACAATTTACCTTGTGTTCATTCTCAAAGCAACCTATGCCTTCTCACAGCAAAGTCCACCTACTCACATACCCACTCTTCCTTGTACAGATAAAACATCAATTTAGTCTTAGAGTTCAAACAAACAGGACTATTGTGCATGTAGAGTATCTTGCAGCTTTGTTATTCTAGCAATCTGTGACCTATAAATAATGCAGAGCCCTTTCCTTCTCTGAATTATGTTCCTGTAGCCTTAGTCTTGATACATGGAGAACACAGGGGAAAAAAAAAAGAGAGAGAGTTACTGGAAGATTGCAATAGGAAATAATGAAGCACAAACACCTTGCTTCATGGAATTCATACTCATACTCCAATTGAATTTAGGAATCATGTATGTTTTCTCTCGTGGATCAAACCAAAAGCCATCATTTGAATATATAGATTTATCTTGCATTTTTTAAATTACCAAGACAAAGGTAATTTGGAAAGTTCTGTATTTGCCTTTAAAGTAAGCAGTGGGAAAAAACAAAACAACAACAAACTGGTTTCCAAGTGCCCCCTGAACTTTGAACCACAACCTCCTGGCATTAAAATGTTCATCACCTCATTTAATCTTTCTCCTCTGCACTAGTGTCGAGACAGAGAAACTGAAAAAATAATCTGAGGACTGCATCAATTTTTCATGAATTTTCATCTAGCCCAGAACCCCCTCTTCCCTTGGTCGATAGACCAAGCTGCTGTCATATATTTATACCACCTGGGGCAACAGCTGCCATCTCTTGAGGCCACCAGGCCAGCTGCATCTCATGCAGCTATGCTGGGTCCCTGCAAAGGCCCCCTGAATGTCTGCTCTGTACACCACAGCACTTGTTGGGAACTGAAATCCTATCCTCGTGCACCTCTGTGCCTGGAGTTCCCGGGGGTCCCATTGGAAAACCACCTATTAACTTCATGAGTGCCAGACCTCTCGCTGGTAGCCTTGTGACTCTGTTTTCTTTCCATTAAAATGACTTTCTGCCTAAAGGCCTGCCTCAGATTCAAGTGAGTTGAAAGGACTTTCTGAATTACTCTTATTTTTCTCTTAAACATGCTCACAATAAAACAAAAACAAACAAACAAAAAACACACACGCAACAATAACAAAACAATAATTGGGCGACTCAACTCTCCATGGCAATACTTGGCCATGAATTTTTTTTTTCTGTTTCTCTGTATTGTCCTATTATATTTGCTGAAGGAAAGGGAGAGAGAGGGGAGAGTGAGACAGAGAGAGAAACAGAGAGAGATGGAGGGAGGGAGAGAGAGAATATGGTATAGGGACAGACAGCAGATTTCCACACAGAAAATCATGATAGATGGCTAACAGCTAAAAACAGAATTCTGACTTCCATGCTATGGCAGACACAATACTTCTCATTTAAAACAAAAATCAAGGTGAAGTAAAGGAAATCAAACATTTTCCATACTGTTTTATCAATAATCATTACACAATAAATGTGTGGCTTATCATGAGGGCTGACAGGAAGTTCTTCCATGCTATGGGCAAAGGCCAGAGCCACTGCCAAAGTCCGTTGTAGAAGAGGAGCCAATGGGATCCACACTCAGTTGTGTAGATGCTGCGATGCGAGGCTCCAGATTTCCCCTTTCTCCATGCAGAGCTTCTTTCTAGTGACACAGGCATTTGCTGATTTCTCCCCCTGTGTCCTCCCTCCATTGGTTATGTTTACTTACCACTTATTTTATTGGAAAACATGTTTTCTTGTCACGACCACATTCCCTGCCACTCTGAAACCTAGTCTTCACCATGCCTTCCGTACAACATTTCATTCTCTTTCCCATGATCAGCTAAAACCTTTCATAATGGTTCATTATTGGCAGCCTACCTGGACATCCTCCTCTACTTTTCCTTACTTCTGTGACTTCAACCTTTATTTGAAAATGACTTCTTTGCTAAATTCCAGAAGCTCTTTTTATAATGGAACGCTAAGTATTTTAACCTTGTTACCCTCATTGACATACCATAGTTGTTCCTTCTGTACATTCTAATTTTATGAATGGGGAACCTGCAGACCCAGAGACTGAGACACAAAAATATTTGAAAGACACACACCATCTTGAAAATTGGTCATAAACCAGATCAAGCCTTTCTAGGTTATTTGACAGCTTAACTCTTCACACCTTCATTCATTACCCCATAAATGTAATCACTCATTCTGTGTCAGAGACTCCCCTTGCACATGATGAAAAAGTGGAGAGACTGTGATTCAGCACATCCCACTTTTCCAACCTATTTTTTCTGAGCTCTCTGAAGCCTCGGAGGTACATATACTGTAGAATGCTTCCATTCACTATAGCAAGATGATGTTCAACTTCATTTTTCATTCAAGACATCACAAAATATTAAAATCAGAGCTCAAATGATACTTCCGCTTTTAGGATCCTTTCTCCATATTATTTATTCAGGAATGTTTAAATATTCTTCTCTATGGGTTCCCATATTATCTATTGTTTGTCCCTCTAAGGAGCTATACTTTTTCTCTATTTCATCTATTATAAAATGTTTAAATGTTGGTCCTCTGAAGGGCATCTGAACTCTGACAATAGATTGGAATGTCTTTATTCCTGTCCCTTAGCACATTAATAGAGGGGAAAGTGGGTGTTTCTGTATTCAGCATTTCAATTGTATGTTCTAACATACAGAAGAAAATAGAGAAGTCTGGCAAGCTAATGGAAAAAGATTAGCAACAAATAAATGAATATTATTTGATCTTCAGTAGCTTCAAATGTCATGATCTGTTGACATGACATTAAAAGAAAGAATTTTATTCACTAGAAAATCCAATTCAGAAGCCTTTGGATTTTTCTTTTTGAGATTTTTAAGTAATTCAAGCATTTCTTAAAGTTCATTTATTTCTAAATAAAAAAATGCAACTTTCATATTACATGGGAAAGAATCTTGCCTTAATATTTTTCTCTTAAAATAAATTCATTACTTATGATTTAATTAGGGGAGAAAATAATCCTTTCAGATGAAATAAAAGATGCATGTGTTTGAGGACCAATTTTAACAAAGCTAAGACTCAAGAACAAATGTTCATTACTCTCCTACAAAAAAATTACCAGACAATTTTGATAAATTTAATGTGTTGAAGTAAAATTAGTCATAGTAAAGTGTTTCTTGGCTGCTGAGTAGAAAAAAAAGGAAATGTTATGGAAAAAAGGAAAGCTTCTTCATTTTTATGTATCTAAAAATGTCTATTTATTTGCTGGGTTCGACGTGCAGAAGAATCCCATAAGAGCAGAAGTTAAAGGAGTCAAGAACTGTTCTTGAAATCCCCACTTGCTCATTTTCCACACCCTAGTCATTTAGCACTGAGGGGCTCCGATTCCTTAAAAAATAATGGTAGAAGGGAATCCGTGACCGATATGTAGAACTGAATTGTATTGCAAAATAAATTAAAATAAATTAAAAAAAAAAGAGAAAAAAAAAAAAAAAATAATGGTAGGACAATCCCAGCCATACTACAAAGAAATATGGAAGGTTGAATCAATAGAATTTAGCAGTGAAATATTTCAATATGCACAAAAGTTTCAGAGAAGTAATATTTTTAATGGAAAACATAGGCAGAACCTTTATATTCTTAAAGTTGTGTTTTTATATTTTATATTCTAGTAAACTATATTTAAGTACTTTTTAAAGTGTTTTATTTAAAAAAAGAAAATATTTGGTATTTGTTGGGAAAATCGCATTATTAGTAAAGGTTTTAATGTTTCTATTTTAATGTTTTTCATACATAAACTGTGGATTTTAAGAACTCCCACAAATTTTTTATTGGAGCTACATATTTCAAACATCACTTAGTTCATGGTTTCTGGAATGAAACTCTAAATCAGAGGACAGGAGGCTTGGGAGCAAGAGCTTTACCAAGACAGTTAAATAGAAAATAGTTTGATTTGATCACCAAAAGATAATGACATATTGTTGCAAGTTTCAACTCACTGTATGTAAGTGTTAAAATCTGCTGTGATACCACACAGAATGTACTGGTGTTAGCGGAAGGACCTATTATTTTCAATACTCTCCCAGTACCTTCCCTACAAATGAGCATCTGCTGTCATCTTACAGTTTACTACAGATGAAACTTTTTCTTAAAACAAGTAAGCTACTAGCAAAATATATTGTTTAAAACACAATCCCAATTCCTACGCCCAAAACAATCTATCACACACCATCTATGAAGTCAATGGAGTTTATGTTTAAATAAAAGCCAGGAACTATTGTTTTTATTACTGTCGTTGGTGGGAATGGTGAAAAAAAATCAAAAAGTGCAAAAGAGGAAGTTCCTATCTATGTGACTATCAAGATTGAGTAAAAACCAGAAACTCTGCAACGGAATGCTTATCCCTTCTTTGGTGAGGTCTACTATAAAAAAAAATAAAGTTATCATTGTAGTTGGTGGCATGTCCTCCCTTCTATACCTACTGTTCATGAATTTGTTCTATAGGAAAAAGGAGATACTATAATGTAGAGAGTAAGACAATGTGTTACTTCAAAAGTTACCCTGTAAAATATTTAGAGGTTATATATGCATTATATATATACATATATGTGTGTATACATATTTATATATGTATCAGAAACAGGTGCATTATTGAATTTATGTCTGCATTTCTGACATATTATACATGAACTTTTGATTTTAACATAAGCAACAAGTCCAAGTCCATTATGTATCTTATTAATAATTCAAATTTTCAATAAGAGTAGCATCATGTATTACCTGCTGCTTTGATATAATAGCATGGACCTTATACTAATTTGATGTAAATAAAATTGTTGCAGTCCCTACACTGATGGCTTTCTAACCATATTTCTTCAGAGAAGCAATGGTTGTGTATTATTTCAATTGTTTTACTCTATAAGTTCTACTCATCAGTGAGAAACAAGCAAACTTACTAAAGAGAAGTGGAATGAGTGTTCGGATAAAGCTCACGGTGTTTACTTACATGCCACTTCCAGAGATGCGTTCCGACTCACTGCTTCACCAAGATAGTTCCTTGCGACACAAACGTAGCTCCCTTCATCTGGTTTACTTCTGCGCCCATGCACAATTCGCAAAAAGAATAAGGATCCGCTGGGCAGAAGCATCCTATGTGACCTGGGGTCATCCTTGTCTGTTTCCACCCTCTCACCGTCCTTGTACCATTCAATGGTGGGAGTCGGCCGGCCCTCTGCCTTACAGTTCAGAGTGGTGGGCTCTCCCTTGGAGACAATGACGTCAGAAGGGTGTTCTACAATCCTGGGGGGAAAGTCTTCTTGACGAAGACGAGATCCTACAAAACATGATACAAGAAGGCAAGCTTAGCACTTTTCTTATCTGTACTGTATGTTTCATCTATATTCATACTCACAGGGTTAAACCTTTTCAAATATTTAATGGAATAACCAGACACGTGGCTTTATTTACATTTTACACATTTGGTTTTCTATACATATCTAAATCATCCCAACTCTTTTGTCCAACGAGGCCATACAACAGTAAATTAATGTTAATTTTAGCGGTCAAACTTAGCATGGTCCATAAAAAGGACAAGCAAAAGTAAAGATAACCACAAATACCGCCCCCCACCCCCGTGGGGGGATCAACATGTTGAAATGGGGACCGAGGTGAATAGGACTGACTGATTTCTTGTTCTCTCAATACTTACTGTTCAGTGAAAGAGCAAGGCAAGTGAACAAAGAACAGAGAAACCAGACAATGTACACACCACATTGTTCAATCAGAGAGGACATGATGTGGCTGGTAAAGTTTCAAGCTAGTCTGAAATATGTGACTTTCATTTAACATGCACACTGATTTTAAGGTTCAGTAACATGATCATCCATGTAATATATATATATATATTCTGTATAATAGATAGAAAACAATAGAGGCAAAATCTCTAACCTTGAGCAATGATGCTGTAGTGGAAAAGTGGAGGAAATATCTTTTTCTATCTTAATATAAATATACAGGTAGAATTTTGGTATTTCACCACAGTGTAAAATTCATAGGCCCTGCAGTTATCTGAATGTTGTCTGTCATTGAGGGTGGATGTGTTGGATGTATAGTCCCAAAGGTGGCAAAATTGAGATATCAGTGACCTATAAGACATATGGCCTGCCTAAGAATAGTTGCATGACTGTTGGTATCACCCTCGGAAGAGACTGCTGCTGTTCTCATAGACTGAGTCAGTTTGTACAAAAGTAAATTGTTATAAGACAGATAATGTGGCCTCTGAGTGTTTCTCGCTACCTGTCTTGCCTTTTGATCTATATTCACCTATCTTTATTCCACTTCCTATTCTGTCATCCAGGCAGTATGCCCTCACTCAGAACCCTGAGGTGGCTCTATGAAACTGAGAGCTAAATCATCCTCTTCTTTTATAAAGTACCCAGGTATTTTACAGTAGCTACAGTAAATATGCTGATAGAAGCACCAATGATATTCTAGTGATGCAATAAAAGTTGTGCCATGAAATGATAGAGATATAAGATCTAGGCATTTTCAAGATCAAAATTTTGCATTATATTCTATTTGGTATACAATTGAGGTTTTTTTTATTATTTATTTGATTATTTGTTGATATGTCTGTGTATGTCCTGGAGCTTAGGTTACAGGGTATTGTGAGCCACCCAACATGAGTGCTGGGGAACAAAATTTTCTCTCCTGATAGAACAGCAAATGATCTCAACCAGCTTCTAGATACTTTTGACTTTTAAACAATCACTGCTTTGGCTATCATCCTATTATATTACAGATGATATCTTCCAGATGAATCAAAAGGATATTCTAAAAACAATAGCCATGCAGAGAAAATAATGATAATGACTTTTAGTAGACCATCTTACAGTTTGCTGTTATAATTTTCCAAGCTATCACCTAAATTTGCAGATTTCTGTTCTGTGATGAGAGGTAATACATCTCAGTGTAATTCTAATCCACTTTCAAGCCAATTAAAATGCATATTTTAATTTAATAAAAATAGAACTTAATTTGGTCATGAGTTTACCTTTCCATTTTGGAAGAGAATGTATTTTTAATGGTTGCAAACTACCAGTTTCACTTCATCAGATGCAGCAAAAAGAACATATAGATTATAAGCATCAGGTGTCTACAACAAAATTTGGAGGGAAAAATTTTAAACTTGATTGAATAGATGTGATGCGTTTGGACAGGGAGGCCCAATCTGTACCAAAGCAATGCGGGCTCTATATCATAAATACTGTGTCCATAAAGTAAGTGATGTGTTACACAAAGTTTTCCTCATTTATAATTTTTTACTTTAAATGCAGTCATTAGACCTGTAACAGTTAACTAGAGCAGAAAATAAGATGGGAAAGGTCTCATCATTCAGACAAAGATAGATTAAAAGGAATATATACAAAAATAATTAATGAAGCTACAATCTCAATTTAAGGTGTAATTGTAAGTGTGAGGATTCTATATTGACACCCTTAAATTATGACAGTGCAAAGTTACATCCCTATGAGAGAGTCAATAAATAAATCTCAAGTAGCTCCATGAATTATCTGTAATTGTATATAAAAAAAAATGGTGTTTGGTGGGGACAGGAATATAGTGTAGTGTTAGTGATGGTATATGATATATCCTTCACTGCATTTTCAGAGAGGTGTGGGCCTTTAAATGAAAGGGCCTTTTATGAAAGACTGTCAATCCACTTGGTTTAAGCAAGTGACTCAGTTACGCGACAACACAGGCAAAAGCTGAGATGACATTGGAAGTCTGTGGGAATTCCATACTATACTGTGCACGGTGTGTGTGTGTGTGTGTGTGTGTGTGTGTGTGTGTGTGTGTGTGTGTGTGTGTGTGTGTGTGGTTGGGGGGAGGTGGGGAGTTGCTCATACACAGAAGACCTCAAAACACTAGAATTTACAGTTTTGATACATGCTATGGTCTCAAATACATGTGAAAGACAAAACCTAAAGATGAAGAAATCACAGAAATCAGAACATGACTGCAGATTTTCAAGGTCTATATATGCGTAGTAAACTAGATTTTTTCCTGAGATACACACACATCAAATAATGGTGGGTTCAATTTTATGTGGTCCTGAGCCAAGGATATCTTTTAAGATCCATGAGAAAAGAAAGAAGATTTGGCAGAAATAGGTGGAGTCAAAAAAGAAAAAGAAGAAGGAAGGGTAGAGAAAATGGAGGAAATGTATGAAGAAGAGAAGGAAGGGAAGGGCCATGGGCTGTGGGACTAAAAACGTTCACCATCTGCTCCTACGTAACAGTGACTGACTCTGCCCAACAATATATGTTTATTTTTCAGAACTATACCCACTTGAAATGTCTTTTATTGGTCCACAAATGCTTTTCTCCCGATTTCAAACAAACAAATTACCTTGATTTTAAAGTAGTATTAATAATACATACATAATGCGAAATATGCAAACCACTGGTTAAACAGACCGGGAAGCAAATGAAACAATAGCTATAGAATTCAGAGTGTCCTTTTAGCCAAAACCAAAACTATTATCTTTACATTTCTCAATTAGTAATTGCAGAGTCAAGTTTTATTAAACTCATCCAAGTGATTATAAAGAAAGAAATGGGAAATCTTGAAAGGTGCCCAACGAGAATGCCAAATGTGGAAAGCCATGGAACAGTCACTGTCATCTCCATAACTGAGGTGTAGGAACAGAAGAGAAACTCAAGATCATTCATGTATAATGAGCCGGACATCCTTAAAAATCAACAGGAGAGCGACAATGGCTTACACACTGGGTGTAGGGTATTTTAACAAAAATATCTAAATTTGATTTCAAAGAATTACTTAAATGCCGCTACCCATAATTAATTATTAAACATCCGCCTTGGTTTTCCAAGGTAATTCATGAGAATCACCCAGAATATCTTTGAATGTGAAATGGTTCACAAATGTGTATATCATCCATGCACTGGGCCCAAACCAATCTCTCTATCTTCCAATTTTAGTACATATGCCAATAGACAAACCTCGAGATGGTGCTTTTTTATTTAATTTTACGTATGTATGCACTGCATGTATGTACACAGATGGCTGTGGGTCCACATGTATATGTGGTGCATGTTCACATATGTTAGCATGTACTTGGGAGGGGCAGAAGTTATGAAGGTTGTATTCTTTGACTTCTTTCCTCTTTGTCTTTGAGAGGGCATCTCTCAAAGAATCTGAATTTTCCAAATTTGTCTAGACTATCTGTCTGGCTAGTGAGCTAGCTACCTTGATAGTCTTGAAAAGCACAGATCCCTAGTTTCTTCAGTGAGCAGGTAGCAGGGGATGAGGGTTAGAAGCTGCAATGTTAGGCTTCATGCCTAGACAAGAGCTTGCATTTAGATTTAGCTCTATCCAAGCATCCCATGGTCATATCAGCAGATGTGTCCAGGACCACTCACCTGAGAATCCAAATTTACATCATGAAAAATTCTCATTTCTCAGAGACCTTCTTATGTTTTAAGAAAATTTTACTTCTCTAAATTGAGTGCCCTGTTAGTTCTTTAAATATGGTGCAAGTGAAGTATAACTCATAATTCATGAATACTGTTACATTTTTCTTTATTGAGTCAATAACCACTCAGTGCACTGAGTAACTTTCATTCTCAGAAGCAATGCCAGTCATGTGACACAAGAATCAAGGATCCAGAAGTGTGTTTCTTGATTTTACTCCAAGGGTTTCTAAGTAAAATGTGCCTGCCTTGTTCTTCAGTAGAAAGGCTGTATTTCTTGGAACTAAGCCTTAGTTTTTATTCACAAAACAACCATCTCCATCAAGTATTAGAACCTCTACAGGTCATGCAATGACTCCCTAAATGTCCTGAGTTCTTCCTCATAGAGGAACTTCATTACAAATTAGAAGCAGAGTAGGAGGTTCTTTTCCTACAGCAAAATTTCCAGTTTCTACTTTTTTTCCCGTGTTAAAATATATGGGATTGTTCACTCTAGTTTTTAGTAATCATGTTGTTCAAACAAAGTAGTTTCTCATAAAATATTATACTAGTAAATTAATCCAAGAAGATGACTACAATTATGACAATGTTTGAATGAGCAGGTGAATATTGTAACATTATTTCCATCCCAGTTTGATGACTACAACAACATGACATGGATTAGTGAAGGTTGCCTGAAAGTAGAACAGGAAACTATTTCAGAAATGAAGGATAAAGGTTAATACTCAGCTATTATTAATTTTATTGCTTATCTCATTTGTGTGGTATAAATCAAATATGAACATCTCATTTAAGTTTTTCCATAGACTAAAAGAGATAGATAGATGATAGATTGCAG